TCTCCCTCTCACACACTCAGGATTAACATATTGAATGGTACATTTTTTTGCTAAGAAAGGAAAGGATGAAGCAATGATCAGCTGGGGGAAAAAAATATTGTCGAACTTTGCCATTCTTTACTTTCCTTCTTTTTTTTTTCCCCTTTTTTTTGGACTTTCTTGTTTTTCCCTTGCCTATCATTTTGCTTTCTTTTTCTATTCTACATTTTAGTGATTTATATTTCAAAAACTAAAGTTTTCTTTATTATTGTTGTTTATCAACATAAGTACATAAAGTGCCAATTGGATTCAACCTGATTCCTTCGCTGTTTTGAAGGCGTTATGTTGTTCGCGCATCGCGCTTTGGTTTCCGATCTCGTGTTTCTGTACTGCGTCCTCCCACTTGACGATTAAAAAAGGCGTTATTGTTTGGCATTGCGCTTAGGTTTACTGCACTTCCCATGTGCCCCTGTTTCCTTGTTTCTGTGCTTATGCTGCTTTCGCTTTCTTCCCACTAGTTCCCTAGAGAATCTGATGGACACTAGGGGAGGAAATGAGCCAAAGAAGGTAGTCGTCCTACTGTCCTACTTTCTGCACTGCATTTGTCTATCAGCTGAAAAGGTACCTGACAGTGGATAATCATATTCTCTTCCACAAATTAAAATTTTAACCGTATATCTTAAGTATTTTTAATGCATGATTTAGTCGTAGATTAGGTCTAGTTATGATTAATAGTACCAAATGGTAATGAAAAAAAATTGGGATTGTGGAACTAGCGCTCAATGAGCATTTTACTTGTTTCTACGCAATTAAATCTCAGGAAAAGTAATAAACCCCTATAGTTCCCTTGTTTGGTTAACTCTGAAGATCAACTAGATGTGGTAAAACTTATTTTACATTTGTTTTTTGACATTTAGGTACTTCAACTTATTCATTCACAAGCTTGATCCCATGAACAAAAGCGTGAATGATTGATGATTAAGCATGAAGAGATTGTGCCCATATAGAGGTAGAAAATTTTTAGGAAAGAGTGGTTAATCTGTATTCAAACAAGAAAAAGGTAGATTAGAATTTCTAATCAAAACACTTGGGACAAAAACTGATTCTTTGCAATGTTTTGAAAGGTCAAAAAGCTAATTACATGCTTTTGCATTACGGCATATTAATTAAGCCACAACCTGAAGAAATACTCAGCAATCATCAACAAGATGAATGATTTAATTCTTGGTTCAAGTTTAAGGCTATGTTTTCAGAACCGGACCGGATAGCGACTCGGCCGAGGTCAGGGGTCAGGGGTCAATGGGTTCGACCGGGGGTCGATAGGGGTCGAACCGGATGACGTCATTAATAAAAATTATTTAAAAATTAAAATATTATATATATAATATATAATAATATATTCATATTAATAAAGGTATATTCATATATATTTGATGTTTCAAATATATTTAACAAGAAAATACAAAGAAATTAGAACAATCAAGTAGCAATTTATATTATTTAATAAATATTAACAAGTTTAGAATTAAAATTATGAATTTAATTGAAAAATAACATCAAATTTTAGGACAATATTTATAAAGTATCAAATATTTGAGGTATATCAATAAGTTTTAACAATTTAGGGGGTCAAAACATAATATTAAAAAGTTTGAAAATTTTTTTTTAAAAAAGCACTGTTGAACCGGAAAAACCGGTTTTTACCCGGTCAAACCCGGTTTTTGACCGGCTTTGACCGGATTTTAAATTTCCGGTTTTTTAATATGACTCGGACCGGCTACCTGGCCGGTTCCCGGTTCGACCGGCCGGTCCGGTCCGAGTTTCAAAACAGAGGTTTAAGGGAGAAACGCTGGGATGATCGGGTCAGGAAAAAGTTCAAGATACACATTGACATCCCTCATTGTGCTTTTGGAGTTCCCAAAAGCTTTGTTTTGAAACTCGGATCGGACCAGCCGGTCGAACCGAAAATCGGCCAAGTGTTCGGTCCGAGTCATAGTAAAAAATCAGAAATTTAAAGCTCGGTCAAAGCCGGTCAAAAATTGAATTTGACTGGGTTTGACCGGGAAAAAATCGGTTTTTCTGTTCAATGGGCATTTTTAAAAAAAAAGAACTCAATCTTTTCAATATTATGTTTTGACCCCCTAAATTGTTAAAACTTATTAATATACCTCAAATATTTCATACTTTATAAATATTGTCCCAAAATTTGATGTTATTTTTCAATTAAATTCATAATTTTAATTCTAAACTTGTTAATATTTATTAAATAACATAAATTGCTCCTTGATTGTTCTAATTTTTTTGTATTTTCTTGTTAAATATATTTGAAACATCAAATATATATGAATATACCTTTATTAATATTAACATATTATTAGATATTTTATATATAATATTTTAATTTTTAAATAATTTTTATTTATGACGTTATCCGGTTCGACCTCTATCGACCCCCGGTCGAACCCATTGATCCCTGACCCCTGACCTCGGCCGAGTCGATACTCGGTCCGGTTCTGAAAACATAGCCCAAAAGTGTGACACAAAACCAGAAGCTTATGTCCCTCAGCGAATAGGTATAGGAACCTATCATAGTTTACGCCCAGAGCTTTATTGAGTGCAGAAACAGAAGATTGCTGTAGTGAAAAGGTTTGTTCAGCCAGAAATACTTGATAATTTTGAAGAACTTCTGATTAATAAGCTGAAAACGATTGAGCCCTCCATCCGAGCTTGCTATAACAGGAACCTGGAACTTGATGGTATATATTTGCTTCAGTTTGGATGCTACCAATATTGAAGACCTAATTTTATCGCAAGTGGTTAAAACCAATCCTATTTTTACAATTGAACAGTGATGGATGATGCAAGAACAAGAATATTTGGTGGTGGGATTCTTTTATAGACACATATAGCAACTGACATTTTCGTCTAATAAATCTTCACCTCATTTTTTTTCCTTTTGGAAGAAATAGAGAAATTCCAAAAAAAAAAAAAAGAAGGAAGAAAGAACAATACTGAAAGCCCAAGCTACATTTCTTCTCTTAAAAAGCTCTTATCCTTACTTTGAACCTAAATAGTACTGCACAAGAAGGGCACAAAAATTAAACCAAGATTCTTGAACTACTGAATTCTCAAAAATATGGTTAGTGAATTTCATGGAAAATTCTTGCAAGCTTTTAAATTCTGTTGAAGATAAAAAAAAGAAAAAAGAAAAAAAAGTTCTTCTCAGTAGTGGATAACTATCTCTTTACACATAAAGATTGTCATAGAAATACTGTCTGCAAACAGAAATTCCTTATGTCAACAACCATACCCTTGGCATTACTTGGTGAAGGGTTGAAAATATTATGTTTCTTTATCAGTTTTGTTTTAATGTCTCACAAATAATTATGCACTAGAAGGACTATCTCACAAACAATCTTCTTTTACCTTGTGTTTTTTCTTTTACCAAAGTTCTTCTTCTCACATTGTGTACAACTGGTTTCTAATCATTATCAAGTTTTATCAATCATAAAATAGTGCCATTTGGCATATCAATTGGCCTTATTTTATAATTGCAAGTCACTATTCATCATTAAAAAAATTCTCAACAGTTATTTTTGTTAATTAGTTATTAATACTTCATTAGTACTCTAATTAATCAATCGTTAGATATTAGTTTCTATAAGGCATAATGTTTTAGGGTATATAAGTAATTTCCTACCATATGGTGTAAGTAATTAGGCCCACAATTCTACCAAGGGAGGTAAGTGCATTTTTATAAACCTCAGGAAAGGCAGTGAAATTGTTAGAAACCTCAAGTGAGATTTCTGAAATTATTCCTTTCCTAAACTACACTTTCAACCATTGAGGTAACCATACTTCTTCCCTTTCAACAGAGGTATCTCGCCGTGTGTGTAGTTTGTAATGCTCCACCTTGTAACAAAATCCGCATAGCCTTTAGAGCCTATTAACGCATAGAAATTTAAATTTTTTGCGTCCTTTGGACATATACCACACGAACCAAAGAATGGCTACAACCAAAATCTAAAATCCAAACGCCAGGCGAAGTGCACATATTTGAAAATTGTGAAAACATCTCCATTGGATTAGATTCAAATTTTACATTGGACTCCACTATTTTCTTTTATCCTTTATCACCTATTGAGATGTTTGTTGGCTTCCAATCCTTTCCCCTTCAATGCTCTTTACCAAACTTTCTTGAACAAGGATGTTGACCCTATTAAATTGTTACAAATCCATTTGATATCAATATTTAATCCGATCCAACTATGCTCTGATACCAATTGTTGGGATCCATGATGCAAAATAAATAATTATTGAACAATCAAGAACTTAACCATTTAATGAGACCAATCCACCGCATGAAATAAGAGTGATAGAAAATATTTAACCTGGTTTGACTCAATTATAAAACTTATGACTAGGGAAAGACCACCTATTCTTTATTATTCTCTAGATGGCTTTTGTCCTATAAATATATATATATATATATTTATGATTTAGGTAGCAATGTTAGATAGTTTGATCCAAAGAAAGGTTTTTTCGATTAAATGAGACGAGGAAAAAGGGTGCCTGACGTCTCAAACTTATTAGTTTAATTAGGTGTTTTTTCTTCGATTGCATGATATAAATGTGTCACAATAAAAGATTGTTTTCATCACTTTAATATTATAGTACAAATTATGAGAGGTTATGTATATCTTTTGAAATCACAAGAGCGTTACGGAAAAACTTGCTTAAGTATATTTTACTCAAAGAAAAATTTCGAATCAAAATTTGTGCTTGTGTATGCTATTTTGCTTCATTAATACTGTAAGAGATATATAGTTTGATGCATAAAAAAAATATATTTGCGTTGAAAAACAGAAAAAGAAAGAAGTCTTTGCCAAACTAGTACTCTTATCATTAGGTTGTAGTCAAAAGAACAATAATTAACACCTCCTCAAATTGACAAACACGAAATTCTAATTTTAAGATCAAAACCCGAAGGCAAACAAGAACTTTCTGTAAAACCATAATGATCATATAGAACTGACCCTGCCAAGCGAACTTGCACTGCAGCCATAAACCTGGCAAACTGATTGTACTGTGAGCAGCAAAAGCACCAATATCGCAAAAAAGAGTTTGACAGATGGAATCAAATAGTCTCTTATCAATCTCCAAGTTCTGACTCTGAAAGTGCTGTCATAAATCCTATTCAAATCCTGAGTAGCCTCTTCTAATTCAGGAAGGGCACGCTGACTGCTAGATTTGCTTATCCCATTGAAGATTTCTGCGATTTCTTCACTCAGGAGATTGCTTTCTATGATTCCTTTTTCCTTGAGCAAATCTACATCTTTTGCAGTATCAATAATGCCGCACATGAAATCCACATATCCGGCAAGTATAAGGGTAGATCCAGGAGAAGCTGAGGCAACTTCATAAGCCACCAGGTTTCGTAATATCACTTCTGAATCAGTGTTCAAAGTAATTACGGGGAGGCACATTACCCGATTCAATTTATCAAGCTCCATTATTTTGACGCCTGAATCTTCACTCCAGACTTCAAATTGTACTTTGCAAATTGCATCAAGTTGGGAAGCTGATGGGATATGGATCTCTTCAATTGAAGAGTTTCCTTTTTCTGAATCTTCTTTGAAAAGATCAGCAAGCTGCTGCAGTGGCAAACTAGCTAACAGTTGCAGAGGTTTCTGCCCCGTCAAATCAGCTGCAACGCTTGCAGCCTGTGTAACTTGTGTAACTGGATCAGCTACCTCGACTGGTGCCGAAGATAAAAGAATACGAACTTCGGGAGACTGATCTCCAAGAGACCGATTTTTCACAATCAAATTATACATATAACTCAGAAGATGAGGATTAGAGGTATCGCCAAGAATTCCTGCTTTATCAGTTAGGCCAAGGGGAGTGTGTGCTTTACAGAATGACAAAAACAATCGATTTAATTTTTTTTCCTTGTTTTCTTCCTCGTTCTCACTTTCATCCTCTTCCTCAACGTCATCTTCTTCTTCATCCTCACCATCACCAGCTTCATCATCATCATCGGCACCTTGCACCTCACCTTCAACAGGAGCTTGAATAGCCTTCAATATTTCTTCGAGCACAATCACGGGCATTTGATTCTCCAACATTGCAATGTCCTGAGCAAACTTCCTGTCCTCCGAATCAACACTTCCTTTATATCTATAGGTGCTCAGCCGATGAAGCAAATATACACCATCAATAGACATGATCCATGCCAAAGTATCGCCATCAATGTCCAAGTACTTGCTGTAGCAAGCGCGTACTGAGGGCTCAAGCTCTTTGACCTTGTCGACAATTAGGCTTTTGAAATTCCGGTACTGTTCCGGCTTCAAAAATATCTTGACAGCCTCAAGCTTTCTGCGGTTCATTTCATCAAGATCAGGCCTCAAGTTATGATATGCTCCTAGGCCTATCTGCTGAGGGGCATAAGTTTCTGGCTTTGTGTCGCATACTTTTTTTGGTACACGAAAGATGGAGGCATCATTTTCAATGTATATGGTGAAATGTTTATTGAACTGATTAGCCCATCTTTGCTCGCTCGTGGTTGAACCAAAAAATGAGCTAGACATGGCGCAAGGGAAATGCAGTGAGTGGTATGATTGGAGTATGCTTTGTGGAGAGTAACTGGCTTTCAACTCAGGCTTCCCGCTATCAGGCTCAGTTCAAAGTCTGTACCTAACAGTTGAACCTTGGAATGGTACGGAGAGGAGTGGAAGGATTTAAAAAAATAAAATAGCTTTCAGCTATGCGAGGGTAAGAATGAGCCAAGTAGGAGGATAATCTATGGGTTACAAATGGGCAGTCCTTTAAGTGCAGAAGGCATGGTTAAGTAATGCCAGTGGTTCGTCCTTTAAGTACGACCATGTGCCACCCCGTGGGCTTCGTCGCACCCTGCTTACTCGTCTTTAACGGGCCTATTTGTACTCACCTATGATCTATCTATGCCCTGAGGCCCAAGGGCCCCTGGGCCAATCGTCACTAACAGCTCCGTCCTTGATTAACTTGATTGATCTGCTTTTTCCCAGCAAAGGTACCGTTTACAACTCAATCCGTGAGTTCACGCTAGTCAGTACAGCTTTTTTTGAATTGAGTTTAGCGAAGAAGTTTATAAAAGAAGAAAGTGACAAAAAAAAACTTGGCGGAAAGCTCTTAGCTCCTTCCTTTATCCGTTCTATTCTAAAAGAAGCTCAGTTAATTAGATTGGATTAAAGATAAAACGTGTATTCAATTCAACCATTCGCATGGTCTCCCTTAAGACTGACCTCTTTTCAAGGCCTGAGGCCTCTTGGATTCGGCGGGGACGACTTTGGGGTTCTGAAATGCCCGTAAACTGATGGATACAAAAAAATTTTCAAATAATATTTCGCTTGCATCATAAACACATTTTTTAATCCATCTTTTTTATATTTCCAACCATTTTTTTTATCTCGCATACATCACATCATAAAAAGTGCTATAGTAATTATTCCAAATAATATTTCAAATAATACCCTATCCAAAGCCAATACTTTTAACTAGTTTTGCCCTGTCCTCTGCATATCCTTTATGGTATTTAAAAGTTCCATCAAAATTACTTCTTTCTAAATTACTATTGTGAATAGTATTTTGTCTTACTTAACAAAATGCTTGTTGAAGTGCTATGAAAGCTATGATGCATTCAGATTTCAGAGAAGGAAGTGATTATGAGTAGGTCATGAAGAAGTCTACCAATAAATTTCTACATAATTTTGTGTATATTATCTTGTCGTAACAGCTCTAAGATTTGTCTATTTTAACTATTGAATTAAATCATATTTAGTTTCAGTTTTGATTTTGCTGTTTCATCAAATACACTACAGTATTCTTTTTCCATAGGTCCACAAACTTTTGCCAATCCACAACCCTAATTTCTAAAATCCTCAGTCAAGTAATTAGACTGGCATTTGAGTTGGATACTCCGTTGGGCTGGACAACCAATGGGCTAATGGATTCCGCCAATATTATTATTAGACTAAGCTTCTCATCTTATGGGGATTCAAAAGTTATTATTGAAGGAGTCGAAATCTGGATATTTGGGGTTCTAAAGCAATCCTTGCCCCAAAATGCATCAGCATAAAGAACTTAAATTAGTCATAATTCCTTTTCTAGTCCCTCCTTACCCTCCACCCAAGAAACAAAAAATAACTCCAAAATAAAATATTCTAAAATATTCCCTAGGCCTCAGGAAATTTATACTAATACGGATCGTCAAGACAGCAGTATTGCATACTAGGACTAAAAGGGAATTAATTCCCCAACCAAGATTATGAAAATGAAACTATACATGCAGTGTAATTTTATTTTATTTTTTTATTTTTTTTGTCGACGGAGTGAGTGTCCGGGTCAAGTCCGTAAAGGTGGCCCGACTAATCCCAATCCGGCCGGGCCCAGCGCCCCAACCAGATCTAGCACGTTAGATGCACGGAAAAACCGATGTTGCTGCGGAGGTTCAACCCCAGGACCTAACGGTCCCGAGAAAGAGGCGCCAACCACCAGCCCATTCACTTGGGGGCTATACATGCAGTGTTATAGGGCTGCGCATTGTTGCCTGCAGTGAATTGGCGATTGAATTTCAATCCCACCAAACAACGGCAGCATTGGATTCGCTCGCTGGCTGTTCTTTTCGGATACTTTTTATTTTTTTACAGGTGGTGGGGTCCATCCTGACTCAGCTTCGACTACGAAACCACATCCCTTGGGGCCCCGCTGCAGTAGAGTCCAGTGGAAGGCTACGACGAACGACCGACCCCACCGTTAATTGGACTACCGAATGTCCGTAACAGTCCTGTGACATCACACGGGCCCCGTGGCCGGGGGGCAGGTAGGTGGTGATGCTGATATTTCAATTCTTTCCACTTTATTTTTTTTTTGAGTAATTGGATTCACAAAAATTTACCCCTTTACATTGTTATTTTTAGGGAATTTTATAGAAAAATATACTATAGTGACTTGATGTATGTAAAATAAAAAAGTGATTGAAAAATATTAAAAAAAAATTTGGTGAAAAATTACCTTCCAAAGAAGACTATAGTAGGTTTAGTCATAGTTGTGAGCTCCCAATCATGTTATTCCAAATCTTTTTATGATCTAAATTTATAAATTTGATCTCGATTTTGTGTCAAAACACCGGTCCTTATGAAATTATAACTATATCACTAGAAATTTTATGAATTTAAGTCTGTATACATAGATTAGCATTCTAACATTGACCACGTATATTTTGTCACCAGTGAATGCATGATAATTAAACTGAATTTAAATTTTAAATTAAAATATGGTGTACATGTCATACGTGTGTAACTGTGATACCGTAGTCATTACATATAAGATAAACGCACAATACACTAAGATATGTTTGGATAATTAGGAGTTCAAAATTTTAAACTTCACTTAGATGAGCCAATTAAACTACACTAAGTTGACTCATGTGAGATGGCTCAATTTATTATCTTTCTTTTATTGGTCATTAGCAGGAACATTTACTCTATTTCTACATTAAGATGAGCCATCAGAACTTCTACACTACCCTATGCTGTAGGGAAGGGGAGTCTAAAAAAGCACCGGAACTTCTACACTAGCCTACCAGACCAAACAAGTGCAGTAAGATCTACCTTGTATATAAAAAGAAATTCAAGTTACTGTAGCTAACCATCTTTTTGACACATGTAATGCATATATTTTTGACAAGTGGACCTTTGATTATTTTACCTAAATTTTTCCTTCCCATTTTTGATCCAATTGGGTTAAAGGATTAAAATATTTTTTCTCCTTAAGAAAATCAACTCCATCTCTTCTTTTTCTTCTTGCAGTAACTAATGTCATCCCCCACTTTTTTTATTTTTTATTTTTTAAAACTAATCTAACTAAGATTGTTGCCATGTTCTTTTTTTTTTTTTTGTCAAGATGATAGCTACTTAGCAAAAAGAATTCTTTATTATTTTTATCCCATTTTACATTTTCTTTTCTTCCTTTTTTCTTCATCTCTAATCTCTCATGTTTGCTCTATTTTTTTATCATAATGTTATAGCCAACTGGCATTTGTTTGTTAAATTTATAGGATGATGTTTTTATTTGGTAGTTCTTCATGGATAAAAGGTGAAATATTAAAATATCTTAGAATTCATTTTATACCAATGATCATTTTCTATGAATAATAGAACAAAAATTCATTCTTTTATTTTCTCCTCCCATGATTTGATTTCTGACGTCACATTTTGTTTCCTTTGCTTTGTTTTTTTGGTTCCATTTTGTAATTATCTACAATTTTGTGTATTTTTTTAGGAGAAAGATATATCATGTGATGTTTCCACTAAGATAAATCTAGCTAGGCATTCTTGTACCTCCGTTTTTCTCCATTTCTTTCTTTTTGCAATTACTTTATGGCCTATTCAATTTAATTGAAGGATCCAATAAGATTTTGTATATATTTAAAATAAAGTTAATTTTTGTTTGTTTTTTAAGTACTCAAGTGTTGTAGTATCAATTGGGTTGGTATACAAGGATTGCAGTCAGTGGTGGAAGTCACAATTGAGGGTTTCGGCCTAGAATATGACTTGACAAAAAATTGTTAGAAAATTCAATTTTGATTAGGAAGATGGTTTTGCAATAAAAAATAGTTCAATTCTAATTTGTATATGTAGATCAGGAAACATAGCAATTCATATTTTTATCTAATCTTACTATTTATATTCTGGAGCTGCAGGATAATGTTGTTACCTTTAGGCGGAATTTACATAGATGAACTAGATTCTTCTATCAAAAGAAAGAAAAATATGAAAGTTTATAGTAAGCTATATTGATGTTGAAGATTGTGCCATGTTTTAGCAGCTTCCTAAAATTTTTCTCATTATTAAAGTACTAAAAGTATTATGACTGCTTTTGATTTAGTTTTAACTAAAACTATACTACTATTAATACATCAATGCACTTATAGTGTATTAATTTTCTCTCCTTTTTGGGTATCATATAATAGTGGTTCAAAAATCTTTATTCAAATCACAATAAATAGGGAGGTTGAATTCATAGATGGGATTTCTCTTTACAACAAATTTTGAGAGAAATTTTATTTATTCTCCATATTTTGTTAATTCTATTCCTATAATAAACAAAAGCTATATGATAAAAATAATAGCGGAAGTATGATTAACAAAAATGAGAGTTCAAATAATATTTGTCAATTTTAATTGCTTTGATGCTCAATTTTTCTCCTATATTTCTATTCATTCATCATGTGGCAAAATAATTTGATGCTATGCATTCGACTAAATTTCTAGGGGGCTCAAACTGTGCTTTGCACAGTTCAAGTACCTCTAGTTTTTTAAGAACAAGTAAGCACTACACTTCCTTGTAATGCATTTGGCAAAGTTTAAACCTCTCAACCTAGTATACGAGAGAGTTTTAATAGACTCTCCCTAATCATTGGACCAAGGCCCAATCATTGCTCAATTTATTACTCCCTCTGTCCCGAAAACTTTGTCGTGCTTTGGGAGCTGAACGTTTTATGCACAGTGTTAAGTTTCAGATTTGTTTTCCGATTTTGCCACTAGAATGT